CCTATAGAGCGAGATGAGCGCGCAACCCCAGAATCGGTCACGACTGGACCTAATGGTCAGGGGTCCCTTTACCCTTTACCTTTTTATCCTCTCTAGGGGGCTGTCATGGCCTTCACAATACCCTTTACACTTTTGGGATCCTTTGATGACAAAGCAGGGTCTCTCCCCCCCCTTGTGCAAGCATGAAAGCAAATTGTTTTTGCTATGCCCGGAGGGTTCGTGTGGCAAGCGAATGGTCTGTGGGACTCAGCTTGTCAGACCAATTCATCACCAATGCCGCTGTTCAAAGGAAGTCCATATCAGCTCTGCAGTCTTGTCTGGTGGAACAACAAGCAGACGCAGCAGGTCAAAGTCAGGCTAGTTCTGCCAGTCCTTCGAGGACTCAAAAGGCTGCCGTTGAGATAACAAGGATCCGCTTGGCTGATGAGCCAGCCAACTTCAGCCGTTATCTTCAAAGTGAAGACAGGCGGGGAAGGAAACACTTCAATCCCTCGCAGCACAGAGAGGGTTGCTGTTCCGGTCCATCTTGAAATAATGCCATACGGAGGTTGAATCTGGTGTGCCTCCACTCAGTTCTGGCCAAAGCAGGTCAGGTGATCCCCATTAAAATTTCCAGATCAGGTAATATTCCTTGATTTGTATTGCATAGCTGCTGAAGGTCTATGAGCATCCTATTTGCCACAGGGACCAACCAGTTATCTATGTGTCTCCTTCCAAACTGTCACTATTTTCTGATGAGAATCCATCACATTCTGGCAAATTCAGGTTACACAAATAAAATTGCTTTAGGGGTCTTGTGCAACAAGGCTGTTTCCCACAAAGAGTGGCTGGGGAAACCCAGCCAGATGGGTGGGATATAAATAAAAAAGTTGTTGTTGTTGTTATTATAATATCAGGTATAATAAGATGAGCCTGCTGGATCAGGCCAGCGACCCATCTAGTCGGTCCAGTCCTGCCGTGAATTTTATGGCATTCAGCTTCAATGCATGCCCCCTTGTTCTCCACAATGTGCATAAATTTATGCCCTTAAATCCCGTCCCCCTTTATTCATCTTTGCTCTAAACTACCCCTCCACCCCACAATGTTTTGACCTTTCCTCATTGTGGCCTTGCTCCCCTTCTAGAGAAAAGGATCTGTTTCTGCCTCTGATTTTCCTGCGAGGAGGGCTTCTCGCCGAACGGGTGTTGTGAAGATTCTCTGGCTGATATTTATGAAGCCCTTTGACGCTGAAGAGTCAGCTGTACAGTAAATGTACTATTATCTTATTAGTCATGCAGCCTAATTATCTTGACTCGAGAGTTGCGTTATGAAAAACAAAAAGCTGAGGCAGTTTGATCAAGAGCTGTTTGAGAAGTGCTCCTCATTAGCCCAATAAAGAGAGGCCTCCTCTCTTTTCATCAGGCGGCAGAACGGCTCCCAGGAAAACGCTTGCAGTCCCGTGGATTGCAGGAATTGTATGCATAGCCCAAAGTTACATTGGCAACTTCAAGGCTTGGTTACTGAAATGCGTTTTACGTGCAACTGGTTGCCGATTTGCTAATTCACAAAGGCCTGGGCAACTTGAGTCCAAAGTCCCTTAAGGACTGCCTTTTCCTTATGTTACACCTTGACTGCCCCCAAGATCCTCTGATGGGGCATATTTGTGGTTCCCCATGCCCCTGAGGTCCGGCTGGCCTTCACTAGCATCTGAGCCTTCAGAGTGGCTGGCTCTGACCTGTGGAGCTCCCCATCACTAGATGTTTGCCAGGATCCACTCCTGTCTTCTTTTAAACATCTTCTGAAAACTGCCTTCCTTAGATGGGCCTTTGCAGTATGAATTTCTCTCTCCAACCAGCCAGCTAAGCATGTTGTATTCCACCTTGATATACTCTCCTGAAAGTGCGGATTATAAATACTGTTGTAGATTTGCGGGGACCCACCCACCCCAAAACCCCTAGAAATTAATAAATGGTAGGATTTTGATTGATTGGGATAGGGATGAAAGTAGCAGCTGCCAAACTGTGCCAGACAAGGAATCCCTGCATTGGCTTATGCAAACCAGCCTGGCTGGCCAAACAAAGAGTAAATCTGTTAACATGAAGTCAAGATTACCTCACAGGGTTGCTGTGAGGGTAAAATGTGGACATCACCTTGAATTCCTTGAAGGAAAGGTGGGATATAAGTGCAATGCACATAAGGTAAAGGTAAAGGTGACCCCTGACCATTAGGTCCAGTCGTGACCGACTCTGGGGTTGTGGCGCTCATCTTGCTTTATTGGCTGAGGGAGCCGACGTACAGCTTCCAGGTCACGTGGCCAGCATGACTAAGCCGCTTCTGGTGAACCAGAGCAGCGCATGGAAATGCCGTTTACCTTCCCGCCGGAGCGGTACCTATTTATCTACTTGCACTTTGACGTGCTTTCGAACTGCTAGGTTGGCAGGAGCTGGGACCGAGCAATGGGAGCTCACCCTGTTGCGGGGATTCGAACTGCCAACCTTCTGATCGGCAAGTCCTAGGCTCTGTGGTTTAACCCACAGCGCCACCCGCATCCCTGTGCAATGCACATATATATAGATAAAATCAACAGTTGAAAAAGCAAATGTACGTAATAAAATTGCCTGTCTGGGACAGGTGTGCCTGAACAAAAATGTTTTTCTCAGGTGTTGAAAGCAGCAAAATGAAGGTGTCATCTTACTATCAATAGGCAGGGAGTTCCAGAGAAATAGGTGCTGCCACACTAAGTGTGGGATAACATTAGGTACTGTTTATTCTGGGATGTCTCTTTTCACACACGCACCAATTGCCCATTAACGGGACTGGATTTTAAGATGGAATGCTCCAATCTGACTAGCTCTGGGCATTTTGTGTATAAACGTGTAGATATCAGCTCGGAGCCTTTGGGATGAGGTGACTTAGAAACATTAACATGAACTGGGAGTGGGCAAGGCCTGGATTCAGGGGCTTCTCTGCCTCTCCGCAGTGCCCTGTGCCATCTCTTCGGGGCTCTTCATCCTTCCTCCATCTTGCCCCTGCCTCTCTGCCCCGCCTGTGACCTCGCCCTGTGAGCACTTATCTCCTCCTGTCTCTGAGGCTCAGTGGCAGATAAGAGGAACGGAAGGGTTGAGACGGAGAGGAAAGGCAGGCCCCGTCAATTGCCGAGGTGACGTATCGCCAGACCGCAAGCCAGCCCACCCTCCGGGGCAAAAGAGGAGACACAGCAGAGCCCACTTAGAAACAGTCCAGTCGTTTTGCTTAAAGGGACAAGCGCTTTCCTCAGAAAATCCTCCTCAGACGGCAAAGGAAACAGGACAGCGGAAGCAGATGGTGAAGCTGAAGGATGTAGCTAAGGAATGCGGCTGAGGGGGGTGCCGGTCAGGCTGCTCTGGGCACCCCACACAGGTTGCGCACAGTCTGCGCTTCCCCAAGCTGCAAGATCTAAGGAACTGGATGCTGCTGTGGAAGTTGGCTTGGCAGGGCCAGCTCTGGGCTTCAGGGGCCTGTTAGAAGAAGAAGAAGAAGAAGAGTTTGGACTTGATATCCCGCCTTTCCTTAAGGAGTCTCAAAGCGGCTAACAATCTCCTTTCCCTTCCTCCCCCACAGCAAACACTCTGTGAGGTGATTGGGGCTGAGAGACTTCAGAGAAGTGTGACTAGCCCAAGGTCACCCAGCAGCTGCATGTGGAGGAGCAGGGAAGCGAACCCGGTTCACCAGATTACGAGTCCATCGCTGGCTCTCCTCACACTGTTTTGCCAGAGTAGACCCCCTTCTGGCTCAGGTGGGCCCTGGCCATGGTGGCAGGACTCTCCGTCAGGACCAGGCAGTTGGGAGCACAGAGCGGGGAAGAAATTCAATTCAGTTTGCATTTGAAAGTGGATTGACCTCCGTCAGGAGGAGAGCAAAGCCCGCAAAGGCTTGGGAAAAGGTTGACAACTCTGGGGAACTGGGGGGGGGGGGCGGCGCCTGAGGGATCTTTGCACCGGACATGCTTAAGACGGCCTTCCTTCCTTCCTTCCTTCCTTCCTTCCTTCCTTCCTTCTGAGCAAGGGAGGGGATCTCCTGTTGCTTGTGCCCAGTCACTCCATCGATGAGTTTAACGCTGCAGGGAAGGGAGTAATGATTCACTGCTTGGCCTACGTTACTTGAGCCTTCCTTTCAGTGTGCTGTGACACATTGGTATGATCAAGATGAGCAGAGCTGGGGGGAGGGGGGTGTTCCGGGCAGGGTGGCATAAATATTTGGACTCAGCTGCGCATCGACAGGGCAATCAGTCGAAGTCCTCAGAGTGGAGTCTGGTGGAAATTAAAAGTGCAAGAGGCAATCAGTGGGCAGAAAATGATGTGCTGAATGTCAAGGGATGGAGAGACAGAGAGACAGGGACTCTGCAAAGCAGGAAACGCTCCTCTCTTCCTTTGAAAGCTGGTTGACGCTTCTAGTTTTTTAAACCACCAACACCTGGTTCCTTTTAATTTTCTAGACTCATTGCAAAGCTTCTGTATTTCACCTAAGGATGGAAACAGACCAGAGTAACACCTGGGTTTCGTATTTCCAAAGATGAAACATAGTAACCAAGTATTGTTTACACTAAACGGCATACATTTCTCCAATGAAAATAGGGACATCCTATTCCGCAATAACAATAATTTTATCATTTATACCCCACCCATCTGACTAGGTTGCCCCAGCCACTCTGGGCAGATTCCAACACATATAAAAAACATAATAGAGCATGAAACATTAAAAAATAATAATCTTCCCTATACAGGGCTGTCTTCCAATGTCTTCTAAAGGTTGTCTAGTTACTTACCTCCTTGCTCAGGGGTCACATAACTCCACACCCTCCAATATTTCTCTGATGAAAATAGGGACATCCTATGGGAAAGCAGAACATTCCAGGAGCAAATCAGAAACCGTGATGGCTTGTGTAAATCCAGGACTGTCCCTGGACAATAGGGACACTTGGAGTGTCTGAAATGGCAGTGGCTATTCAGGGTCTGAGGCTGGAGTTTTTTTCCAGTCCCACCTGGAGATGCTCAGGATTGAACCTGGGACCTTCTGCATGTAAGGTGGATCCTCTACCACTGAGCCACGGTGGTTTCAACCACTGTATATTCCTCCTTCCCAGAAGCCCTGAGTGCAACTCTGAAACCTGTGTAGACTGCAGAGGGACACATCTGAATTCCTGCCACCTCCTCCCACATTCCACTGTGGACAGGGGCAAGTCATGGTTTGTCCAACAGCCAGCACTTCCCCCCACCTGTTGTTTAGCATCTAACCTGATGGAGAGTCCGGGAGAACTCAAAAGCTTGCATTTTGTGACATTTTGGTTGGCCTAATCAAAGCACTGCCCTCACTTAGCATCACTTCATACTTTATGCATTTTCTAAATAGGTCAGGAAAATGACATAAATGCCACGAAAATCATTTTGTGTGGTTGCCCCATGCACTGGGTGTGTGCGTGTGCATTTTATTTAGTTCTGCACAAATATTCTCCAGTTTTGGTTTCCAGGTAAAAATGAGCTGTTTTGGTGGGGTGCAATTTTCCCTTTCTTTATCACAAGAAATCTTGATTATTAAATAGAGGGAGTTTTGGCAAGCAAGGAGCCGCAAGGTTTGAACAGCAACAAAACCAGTCACTTTTACGTGTTTACAGGGTTTGGAAAGTTGTGTTGTGGGACTGGAGATGGAAAAGCAAATGGGTGGAGTGGAATGAAGTATGCCAGAAAGGGGCATGGCTGGCTGGCTGGCTGGGTGGGTGGCTGGCCTACTGGAACTCTGAAGAGGAGCACTCCTGTGCAGGTCTCACTTGAGTGTGTGCATATAAACTAGGGTCAGAGCTACGCCATATATTTAAAGCACTTTCAGCATGTATTCAAAGCACATGACAGCCCCAAAGAATCCTGGGAACTGCCATTTCCTCCTTAGGTAAAGGTAAAGGGACCCCTGACCATTAGGTCCAGTTGTGGCCGACTCTGGGGTTGTGGTGCTCATCTCACTTTATTGGCCGAGGGGAGCCGGCGTACAGCTTCTGGGTCATGAGGCCAGCATGACTAAGCTCCTTCTGGCGAACCAGAGCAGCACATGGAAAAGCCATTTACCTTCCCACCGGAGCGGTACCTATTTATCTACTTGCACTTGACATGCTTTCAAACTGCTAGGTTGGCAGGAGCAGGGACTGAGCAACAGGAGCTCACCCCGTTGCGGGGATTCGAACCGCCGACCTTCTGATCGGCAAATCCTAGGCTCTGTGGTTTAACCTACAGTGCCACCTGCGTCCTCAGCGCCACCAGGACTACAATTCCCAGCACCCATAACAAACTGCAGTTCCCTCAGGATTCTTGGGGGATGCCACGTGCTTTAAATGTGCACCTATGTGGTGGGAGTGTGTGTCTATTAAACAATTTTGGAGTAACATTCAAGAGGAACTAAAAAAAACATGCTTAAAATATCATGTAAAAAAAACCCCAGAGGCGTACCTCTTGGGAATTATATCGACTGACATTCCTGCCACTAGGAAAAAGGTTTTCTTATATGCAACCGCTGCAGCCCGAATGATTGCAGCAAAAAACTGGAAGGGAGAAAAAACTCCCTCAATAAGAGAATGGCAAATAAGATTTTGTAATATATAGAATCAGCAAGACTTACAGCAGTGGTAAGACGCCAATCAGACGAAAAACTGATAGAGGAGTGGACTTGCATGAAGGAATACATCAAGAAACATTGTTCTGGTATTAATATATCAATATGCAATGGATGAAACGTATAGAGTAAAAAATTAAGAAGAAATGGGTATAAGATGAGATAGTCAAAAATAATATTGATAACACAGAGAAAAGAAGAAACTAAGGAAGCCACATATAGATGGAGGGAAGTCAAAATTTATGTCTGTATATTTAGTTTGTATGTTTGTTTTCTTTTTTGTAATCTAAGCTGAGAGGTGTATGTATCTATGTATAATAAGTTTGTTTAGTGTTCTGGTTTGTGTTTGTAAGTACAGTGGTACCTCGGGTTAAGTACTTAATTCGTTCTGGAGGTCTGTTCTTAACCTGAAACTGTTCTTAACCTGAAGCACCACTTTAGCTAATGAGTGCTAAAGCTAATCACTGCCGCTGCGTGATTTCTGTTCTCATCCTGAAGCAAAGTTCTTAACCTGAGGTACTATTTCTGGGTTAGCAGAGTCTGTAAGCTGAAGCGTATGTAACCTGAAGCATATGTAACCTGAGGTAGCACTGTATTGCATTTATCAATAAAAGTTTATTTATTTATTTTTTTAAAAAAGTGCACTGGGGGTGCTTTAAATAGATGCTGTTGAACTGCCTTAGGAGGTCAGCTGGCAATTGCATTTGAGACCTCGGTTTTGCATTTGGATCATTTGCAGCCGATTCCTGCGGCCGTGCGAGCATCCCAATTAACCAGTTCAGGCTTTGTGGGCGCTCTCTGACCTTCCCTTCCGATCCCTGCAATTAATTTTTAATCAAGCCTCCTTCCTGAGCGGTGTAGGGTATTGTTTCAAAAGCGCGTTGGGGAGGCAATTACTCCAAGGTCTTGTATTTAAATTGCCAAACCGGTTACCAAGCAAATTGCAAATGTGATTTTGACAAATGCTCCATTGTGCTCGGCGGTTTAAGAGTTCGGAAGAATGCCAAGAGAAGAACACCACCCGTCCCTACTCTAAGGGCGGCAGAATGTAGAAGCGTAAAGCCGTTCAGGTTTGCTGCCTTTGCTCCGCAGGCGACGTTTTATCTGTTTTTGGAGAACTGTATCCTGTAAATATTTCCAGGATGGCTTACAGTCTCAGTACCAGTAAGGAGGATAAAATCGGAACGAAATGACAACAGTTTCAGCGAAAGGCCAAGGCTGAAACAGCAAATAAAATGGCAGCATTAAAGTGATCTCTCCAGTGGTGAAAAGGCTTGCCGTCCTGGTCTTATGCCTGGCTGACTGGCAAAGGAGCTGCCCGCTTCTGCTGCCATCCTGACAGTTCTCTGCAGAGGTGACTCAAAGAAGCCAGAAGAGGCTAGGCAGGGTTGCCCAGCTGGAGGAAGAGAGATGGATGGTGGGCTACAGGATGAAGACATGATACTTTTTCACACAGCACAGAGGTAAACCATGAACTCCCTCCCACCAGAGGCAGTGATGGCTTTCAAAGGCAATTAGACAAACACATGGAGGAGAAGGCTATCAAAGGCTACTGTCATGGTCCGGTTCACGGGCGATCGAAGTCCCAGCTGGGGACGTTGGGACCGGGGGCAAGATGGTGGGGTGGGAGCAGGAACGGGAGTCCAGAAGCCAGGAGTCAGGAAGCCAAGAGTCCAAGGGTCAGAGAGCTGGGAGTCAAGAAGCCAAGGGTCCGAGGGTCAGAGAGCCGGGAGTCAAGAAGCCAAGGGTCTGAGGGTCAGAGAGCCGGGAGTCAAGAAGCCAAGGGTCCGAGGGTCAGAGAGCCGGGAGTCAAGAAGCCAAGGGTCCGAGGGTCAGGAAGCAAGGAGTCACGAAGTCAAGGGTCCAAGGATCAAGAAGCAAGGAGTCAAGGAGCCAAACGCAGCAAGGCAGGAAACGTGTTGCTGTGGGAAAGAGCCAAAGGGAAATGCTGACTTTATATCCCTTCCCGGCTCTTGCCACCAGGTGCTGTGAGTTACCAATTGGCCTCACCTGTGCGGCCGTGCCTTGACTCTTCAGAACAAACTTAGGAAGGCCCCAGTCCTGCAAAGTTCTACTGGTCACAGGGCCTGGCTCCTGCACACACTCCTGACAGCAACTAGCCATGAGGGATCTGCTCTTGTCTCCACAGTTGGAGGCAGCAACGCTTCTGAATACCAGTTGCTGGAAACCGCAGAAGGGGAAGAGTGCTCTTGTGCTCGGATCCTGTTTGTTGGCATCCCACAGTCATCTGGTGGCCACTGTGAGAACAGGATGCTGGACTAGATGGGCCATTGGCCTGATCCAGTAGCGTTCAACTTAGGTCCTTAAGGCTGGTGGCCCATTTAGAGGGGGTTCCAATCAGGGAGGGAGCAAGGACCGAGAAGGAGTAGCAGGAAATCAAGAGTAGGCTAAGGCTTGCTACAGAGATTTAGGACATGGCATGGGAAGAAGGAAACAGATGCCTTTCTGGATCTAGCTACCCCAGTGGTGAATCAAGGAGAGAAAGTGTGACCTGAAGGAAGAGGGGAGGTTACTTGTATACTGGGTGGTAGAGTGAGTAACAGGGAAGCAATGCTGTTTAAACAGATTTCAGATTTCTAGCTGTGATTGCAGGGTTTGGAGTAGATCAGTGGCATAGCGTGGTTTGCCAGTGCCCAGGGCTGGGTGGAAACAGAGACCCAGAATATTACATCCACAGAGAAAAGAAGAGAAGAGTCATTCTATTGTCTGGAGAGGTCACTTCCTACCTGGTTTGCATGGAGAAGTTGTTTTAAACTGACTCTGGAGATGGAAGTGAACAGCTGTATTGAGGCAGCACCCCTTAACCACCTTGTGCCTGGGGCAACCGCCCCGTGCTCCCCCCTACACTATGCAACTGGACTAGATAGCCCTTTGAGTCCACCCCAACTCTACAATAAGATAATTCTATCATTCTAAGGCTCCGAGGGTGAGAATTGTTCTAAACTCATCTGCACGAAGAGCCTGCCAGGGTCTTTCTGGGGGAAGAGAAACCCTGGTGTTCTGAAGACCCTTGGGATCCACAGTGGGAGGGTGGCAGCTCTCACAGCTGGTTTTGAAACAGATTTCAGGGTTGGCAATTATGTACACAAGAACATCAGAAGGATCCTGATGGATCAGACCATTGCCCTCCCAGTCCAGCATCCTATTTTCGCAGAGGCCAACCAGAGGCCCTTGGGCAGCCCAGAAGCACAATCTGAGTGCAACAGTAACTCACCTTTCCTGCAGTTTCCAGAAATTGGCCCAGCCCAGCCTCAAGCCTTCCTTTCTTCCATTCTGGTAGGAGAGCCCCTGCTGCAGGCCTGTGTTTGGAGCCCTGCCTGGGGGACAGTAAATACTGTATTTTTTGCTCCATAAGACACACTTTTTTCCTCCTAAAAAGTAAGGGGAAATGTCTGTGTGTCTTATGGAGCAATGCGTGGTCCCTGGAGCCGAATTGCCCAGGGGCAAAAAGCAGATCGTGCTTTTTTTTTTTTTAGAAAGAGGGAAGGGGGTGTTGAAACAAAGCTGCTGAGCAGCTGATCAGCAAGCGATCGGGAGGGGAGATAAGGGACTCTAGCGATAAAGGAGGCTGCCTGGGAGGGGGGAGGTAAAGACAGCAAACTTGCAAGGAGAGGAGACAGGAAGATTAAAGCAATGAGGAGAGAAAATAGAAGAAAAGGAGGAGCAAAAAACTGCTCCAGCTAAAGAAAAGACACTAAGGCAAACAAGAGGGTAGGGGTGTTGAAACGAAGCTCCTGATCAGCTGATCAGCAAGGGATCGGGAGGGAGATAAGGGACTCTAGAGATAAAGGAGGCTGCCTGGGAGGGGGAGGTAAAAGCACATGGATCCTCAGGATTTTTGCATTGGGTCACCCCAAATTCACCATCAGATCACATAGCATGTCCATGGCTACAGCCGGCACCAAAAAACCCCCACACATCCACTGTTTCGTGGGGCTGCAATGGCACAAAAACGTGGTTACAAAGCACAGATCCACATGGATCCTAAGGATTTTTGCATTGGGCTACCCCAAACTCACTGTCAAATCTCACATCATGTCTGTGGCCACAGTGTGAACCACAAAAATCATACATCCACTGTTTCGTTCAGAATATTTTTTTTTTCTTGTTTTCCTCCGCTAAAAACTAGGTGCATCTTATGGAGCGAAAAATACGGTACACGTCAGCTCTGTTATTATAAGGGCTTGGAATTGGCCACCAAAGCTCAACAGACAAGAGTTCTCTCTCAACTATACCGCTTTCCCCCAGGTGTGCTAGAAAGCGGCCTGCATTCTTGAGTGTCCTACGAGCAAATATTAATAAAAGAGCACACTTCTTTACACATTAAAGGTACCGGATAAGTGACTGGCAATCATGTTGGGATCACTCGTGTTAGCAATTTCGAGATTGGCTGTGGTTGCAGAGCTGCCCTTGAAGAGAGGGGAAAGGGTGATTGGTTTCAATTCCCCAACGGCAAAGGGGTGGGGGGAGAGCATAATTTGACTGTGGCATTTTCCCACCGCTCTCCGTTTTGCTGGGGAAGCATTAACATGGCAGCCCCCCCCCCCCGATAATCACAGCAGGCTTGAGATGTTATTGTCGCAGGATCCAAAGCAAGGCGGCGATATTCAAGGGAGGCTAATTAAATTATTTCAAAAAAACCTTGCCAGAACATTATGCTTTTGTGCAAGAGAGAGAGAGAAGAAAAGAAATCAGCATGGCGCCCTCTTCTCAGTGTTTCAGGAGGACAGAAGGTAGCCATGGGATGCGTGGAGAGGAGGGAGGGAAGCAGTCTAGTTACGGGATCTAATGAACTCTGCAAACTTCCTGTGGCTTATTCTCAGCTGCACGAGTTATGGCACTCTGCATTATTAACATCCCAGATGCGCAAACCAGGTGACATTTGACACCTTGTAAAGAAGAGGAAAATTCATTGGCCTTCTCTGGGTACTCTACTCTGGGGGAGGTAGGCAGGTAAAGGGAAATGACATTTGCAGCGACAATTAATTAGCAACAGGCAATGTGAAAAGTGTGGCATCTGTTATCCCCTTTCAATGAACTGAGCTCCACCTTATGCTCAGACTCCACCTTGAAGATGGGTTTGTGGACGGAGGTACCTCATTGTAAACCACATTTCACTGTGATCTATGAATGCTAATAATAATAATAATAATAATAATAATAATAATAATAATAATTTATTTATACCCCGCCCATCTGGCCGGGCCTCCCCAGCCACTATGGGTGGCTCCCAACAGAATATCAAAAACACAATACAGCATCAAACATTAAAAGCTTCCCTAAACAGGGCTGCCTTCAGATGTCTTCTAAAAGTCTGGAAGTTGTTTATCTCTTTGGCATCTGGTGGGAGGGCGTTCCACAGGGCGGGTGCCACCACCGAGAAGGCCCTCTGCTTGGTTCCCTGTAACCTCACTTCTCGCAGGGAGGGAACCGTCAGAAGGCCCTCGGCGGTGGATCTCAGTGTTCGGGCAGAACGATGGGGGTGGAGACGCTCCTTCAGGTATACAGGACCGAGGCCGTTTAGGGCTTTAATGGTCAGCACCAACATTTTGATTTGTGCTTGGAAACATACTGGGAGCCAATGTAGGTCTTTCAGGACCGGTGTTATACGGTCTCAGTATAAAGCGATATATTGCATTGCAACTTGCTGAATTGTAATTAGCAGTTTTTCCCCTTCCGTTTTTTCAAATGGGCACAGGACTTGAGCTGGTTTTCCAGCTGTGGAAGGCAGAACTGTGTCCTCCACATGTGTCTCAAATGCCATTCCAGTATCTCAGTGTTGAAGAGAGAGATCAAGTTGCAGACACATGCCATGTTAGATAATCAAGTGAGGCCAGAGGTCTCACTTCAGTTAGCTAACTAACAACAATTAATCTAGAGACACACAGATTGGAAGGGTCCACAAAGAATTCCTAGCCTTTCCTGTCCCAACCCAACTCAAATCCCTGAATTCTATCTATTTGGGTTTGAATAATGTCCCATTACAGGTGTAAATTAACACAGCAAATCTAGGATGAAGGTATTATCACTGATTACTACTGCTGCTGCTGCAACGGTCATGGTGCTTATTTAGCATATATTTACCGTAAGCTTTAATTGAACTGCCACAAGCCCTGATATTTAAATTGCATGACCCATCCGACTCCACTGTTTACAATTCTCCCTTTCCATCTTGTGTGTGTGTGTACACACACACTGGTGAACCGATAATCTGGTGAACTGGGTTCGCTTCCCCGCTCCTCCACATGCAGCTGCTGGGTGACCTTGGGCCAGTCACATTTCTTTGAAGTCTCTCAGCCCCACTCACCTCACAGAGTGTTTGTTGTGGGGGAGGAAGGGAAAGGAGAATGTTAGCCGCTTTGAGACGCCTTAGGGTAGTGATAAAGCAGGATATCAAATCCAAACTCCTCCTCCTCTTCTTCTTCTTCTTCTTCTTCTTCTTCTTCTTCTTCTTCCTCTTCTTCTTCTCCATTGCAGGATGCGGAAGCTTGTTTTCTCCTGCTCCGGAGGGTAGGACTCGAATCGATGGCTTCAAGTTACAAGAAAGGAGATTCTGACTAAACATCAGGGAACTATAAGGAAATTCTGCCCTTGGTATGTCCAGTTTCCACCTCTCCATTTCGATTCTCTGGCTCCATATCTGCGCAAACATATTATCCCAAAATACAGACGTGCTTTTACACTTCCAAGGCTGGATGTTTTGCCATCTGCGGTACTTGAGGGTCGATTCCAAAAGATCCTGCCTGAGAAACGTCTTTGCCCCTGTGGAGATGGTTGCACCGAAACATTGGCACACGTCCTCCTGTCCTGTACTCTCTACAAAGACCTGAGGAACGAGATCATCACCCCCCTCGTACTAACCATCCCAGGGCGCTCAACCACTGCCACAATGTCCTTTCTTCTATCAGATCAAAATGAGCAGATAACAGCCAAGGTTGCTGGGTTCATAGCAGGGGCAATCAGAATAAGGGCCACTAACTGACTGCTGATTCAGGACTTTAAATTGTGCTCTTATATCAAATTTCTTTTTCTATGTATCTCAGGAAAAAGCTTTCTGGCACTTTCTACATGTTTGACAGTGGAATGGTCTCCCTCATGAGGTGGTGGACTCTCCTCCCTTGGAGACTTTTAAACAGAGGTTGGGTGGCCATCTGTCATGGGCACTTTAGCTGAGATTCCTGTATTGTAGGAGGGTTGGACTAGATGACCTGTGAGGTCCCTTCCAACTCTACGATTCTATGATTCCAACGAAGAGGGTGACCATCCAGCTGTGGCATATGCTTGTCCCCCCCCCCCCCGTACCCTCTTCTCTCACCAACAATTAGTTGCCAAGGTGGAGCCATTTGTGCTGTGAAGCGTTGGGCCTCACAACCTGAGGCAGAATTTCTATCCACAGCAAGGCACTTCAAGCCTAGCACTGCAAAACACTGCTACCAGGAAATAGAAGGCAGGCACAGACCTCTTAAGCACATTGCATCACCTAAATAGCCTTTCCGGGCTTGGATGAATGATGGTAAGGAAGATTAGCGGAAACCATAAGCGGAGCTTTCCCACTGCTCACAACAGGCCCTCCCCACTGTCGGTTGCGCATGGTGGAAGTGGGAACGCAGTGTGGATGCTTCCCGCTGTGTGAGCATCTTGCCCAGGTCTATGGGTTAGGTTCACATTTTCAGGTGACCCTTCCTAAGTCACACTTCCGCCAGGCTCCAGACCACACAAGTGGTCCAACCAATGACAGGCCAGAATGCTTGGTTAATGGCCAATGCCAGCAGTCCTTGTTCATGTATTCCCCCAGGCAGCGGGCCAAACCGGCCAGTGAAGACACTTGGGCCGGCTCCCAGGGGTAGTTAAATTGTGGCCTGCCCAGCAGTCTTTCCTGTCTTTTTTTCACCAAATCTCGTGTGTTTGCTTTTACTGGTGCTCCGACCTCGCTATGGACCAAGTCGGCCGCCATATTCGAGGCTGGGCAGGGATTTTTCCATCTGGCAAACTGGTACCGGCCATCTGGATTTCGCCTACCTCGTATAATAATAATAATAATAATAATAATAATAATAATAATTTATTTATACCCCACCCATCTGGCTGGGTTTACCTTTGACATCTGGTGGGAGGACGTTCCACAGGGTGGGTGCCACTACTGAGAAGGCCCTCTGCCTGGTTCCCTGTAACTTGGCTTCTCACATGGAGGGAAGGTTATAGCCTTTGCCTGCTCCTCTGTGGGTAAGGATGTCCGGTTAACAGGATCTGGGAGGAGTGGCTTCTATCCGATGCCCAGGTGAGGGCTAGGGCCATACCACTTCTTCAATGGGTACCCCATGGGGGTACCCCTAATTTGATGTAAGTCATAGGGCATTCCCCATGGTTGTCGATTACGCTTACATGCACTCCCAGCAGATGCCACACTATTCTCTACTGTAAGCAATAAAGTTGGGGCCATATTCAAGCCAGAACCCAGTATAATTAGATCTGTGTGGTTATTCATTTCCCCTAGGGAACTGGGGGGGGGGGTAGGTGTCACGAGGTCTTGACATGCAACAAGATGTGAACTGGAACACAACTATGCTTTGAGATTTGCCCTTCTCCGAATTGTGTGACGTGTACACAAATGTATCTATTCGGCTGAAGTGTGCATCACAATACACGCATCAGCAACGAGAACTTATAAACATGCATTGCCTTGGTGGAAATCGCTTGCCAAAGTGTGTCTCTTCGTCAAAATGGCAAGTTCATGTGTATCAATAACAATAATTTTGTTATTTATACCCCACCCATCTGGCTGGGTTGTGTTTCTCTTGAGAAATTGGCACTAAAATGCCAATGAGTTTTCACGAGGACTTACAAAAATAATAATCGCAAACTGATGAGGGTATGAGGTGAACTGGACTTAAGACAGGGGGGGATGAAAAATGGAGGAAAGCTGAAACTGACAGATTCATCCATCTTTAGAAATATCTTCTGGCCACCTGAGGCTGCTGAGCAGGTTTCTTCAGCAAGATCTAGAAACATGCAGTCCGTCTGCAAGCAATTAAAGATGGTTGCCTCTTCCTTTGACACCCCATAGTCATCTTTCCATGACAATGTGGCTGCTCAGTCTTCCTCATTGGATGCACTGTGTATTAAACCTCAATTAAACCAACCAAACCAAACCAAATGGAGAAAGCCAGTTCTTCTGGGACTAAGGCCTTGCCAGACAACGATATTTTTCCTCCTCTAAGTGTGACATGCAAAGAAAAAGTATTTCAGATTTCAAAGCCTGCGTTGTGTGCCCCCTCCCCCCGCCCTGTTTTTCTCTTCGAATTTTCAGGGCTTCGGAGACTTGTTAGGGAGAAGATCAAACATAGCCTCTGTGTAAATGCATAATACATACATTTACCTCACAGGGGTATTGAGGATTAATTAGTTCCTGATTGGAAACCACTTTGAAGATGAAAAAGCACTATATGCACTCTAAATATTATAAATATTTTTGTTGTCTGTGGCAGCTGGCTTTTTAGTTTTATTTTTAAAATGTGCTTCCTTTAACTTATCGGCAAATGTTGTTGATTTCGGCTCTGTTTTGAGGGTGGAAAATAGGCAACCAGCATTTATGGCTGCTGCTTAAAAGTTTGTTGTGAGGTGGTGGTTTTTAGGTTCCCTTTTTTAGGGGGTGTGTGTGTGCTTGTGCCAGTATTGACCCTGACCTTCCCAGCAGCTTGGGAATCGAAAGAAGGAGGGACGCATGAATATGTGAAGAAATTTGGGGTTGCTAAGATACAAGTTGGCTTTTGAGAAAGTGGATAGGGAGTGGTTGATCTCCCTCCCTCCCTCTTAACATTAGAACTTGGGGCTATCCAATGATGCAGAGATATAATTTTCAGGGTGACATAGCAGTCAATTCCTCTCCTCAGAAAAATCTGTGAATTGTATCTCTATGAGGCGAATAAGGGTCTCCCAGCAACTCTAAGCACCCTCAACAAACTACAGCTCCCACAATTCTTTGGGGGAAGCCAGGATTGTTTAAAGTGGTATCATACTGGGGCTCAAGTAAACTTCATCTTCTGGATGGCAACCCTTCAGGAATTCGAAGACCACCATTGTGTCTCCATGCTGACCTCTTCTTCAAGCTAAACACACGCAGTCCTTTCAATTGTTCCCCATAGTCTGTGTACATGCCAAACAGTTAAAACGCGTGACGTTTCTCATAAAAAGCATGAGGACTGTAGTTTACTCCCCCCGAGAGTTACAATTTGTAGTATCTGTGATAAACTTCTTCTTCTTCTTTGGCGATCACTCGTAGCCGAGTAAGATTGTCTTCCATAAACACGGTCTTAACAATGAGTCCGTAAGTGACTGTGGAGGCCAATTCTGGATCCACACGTCCTTCCACAGTGGGGACATTGGTTTCTGGGCAGAAGTTGACCACGGTGTGGATTTGCCAAGCGTGCCTTCCTCTTAGCACGTTTCTCCCTTGCGTCCTGAGCTGGAGTGTCTTCAAAGTCCATGACACTTTTGGTAAAGGCTGTTCTCCAACTGGAGCGCTCGCAGGCCAGTGTTTCCCAGTTGTCAGTGTTTGTACTACTTTTTTTAGATTTGCCTTGAGACAGTCTTTAAACCCCTTTTGTTAACCACCAGCGTTACGCTTTCCCTGTTTAGGGAAGTTTTTAATGTGTGACATTTTAATGTATTTTTAATCTTTGTTGGAAGCCACCCAGAGTGGCTGGGGAAGCCCGGCCAGATGAGCGGGGTACAAATAAATTATTATTATTATTATTATTATTATTATTATTATTATTATTATTTCCATCATTTTAAAGTTTGGAATAGAGTAGTTGCTTTGGAAGATGATCATCAGGCATCCACACAACATGACCAGTCCAACGAGGTTGATGTTGAAGAATCATTGCTTCAACACTGGTGATCTTTGCTTCTTCCAGGCCTGTCTTCCCAAGTGATGTGTAAAATTTTTCAGAGACACCGTTGATGGAATCTTTTGAGGAGTTGGAGATGGCGTTTATAAGTGGTCCATGTTTCACAAGCATATAGTAAGGTTGGTAGTACAATAGCTTTGTAAACAGGCATTTTGGTTTCCCTGCGAATGTCCCAGTCCTCAAACACTCTGCGCTTCAATTGGGAGAAAGCCGCACTTGCAGAGCTCAGGCGATGCTGGATTTTGGCATCAGTGTTGGCCCTTGTGGAAAGATAACTGCTTAGGTAGGAGAAGTGCAACTCAATGGTGTAACGTTGTGATAAACTACAGTTCCATGGATTCATTGGGGAAAGGTCATGCTAACACTGGAGTGAGTCCTTTTTGGTTGATGTACGCCTTCCCATAATTTTATATAGTAAGATATACATTAATATTCTATGCTGTGTCTTTCCCTCACTCCCTTAGTGATGGAACTTGTTGCTCTCCCCCTCCCCACAGTATTCAACCACTGAAATCTGAGTGGCAGCCAACATATTCCCTTCCAGGTTTCTGTACTTATTAGGGAGTATTTCAGCCAATCTTCATATACTAATAAGACTACGGAGTCCATAGGTAATTTATGCCCTCTAATCCTAACAGCCTTCTTCCCACATTCCCATGATATGCCGTTAAAAGTTTTGAAAGCAGAGGCAAAACTTACAAGATCTACTCTGGGTATATTCA